TCTACCTCTCAATCCCTCTATCCTAGTTAGCCATATGATGTCCCCTCTGCGTGATTGAAATATATCCGACCTGGGACACAACATATGCATCTATTTCTAAATATTTCTTCCTCCTTAATAATTGTTTACTCACCTAAAGTAAGGAGTCCTTAGGAAGTTCTTGATAACCAGGGTATATCGGGAAGTGAGGAACACGTTCTAGTGCAACTAAAATTGAACCATTTAAGAGGTTGCCTGTAGATCTCGTTGCTTAATTTAAGTGGACAACAATACACGTGGTCATTGTCAGCTAAATGGTATATTTTGAAAATTTTGTCAATATCCTTCGTGTTTAAGTGGACCACAATACCGGCAATTGACCGGATCTATTCATGAAGGTGAAGGTACTGATAAACAAAGTTAAGACTGTCTCACAACTTTGATCCCAAATATTTTTTGTTTTTGTTAAATTTGTTCACAGTTTTCCTCTATGCACAAATTTAGGGGGAGAATTAAAAAAAATCAAAAATCAAACAAAAATCAGAAAAATTCAAAAAACAAACAAAAATCAGAAAATTCAAAATTAAAAAAAATAGTGTTATATTCTGTTTTATTTCTTCTTCAAGAAAATCAAAAATCCAAAAATATTTTTGTTTCTGTTTTATTTTTTTCAGAAAATATGAAAAACCCAAAAAATATTGTGTGCTCAGTTTTCTTTTAGTTTTGTTTTGTCTTGAAAAGTGAATTCAGGTGAAGATGAAACTCATGGAGTTTGTGTCGAAGATTTCTGAGTCAAGGCTTCATCCATGATCATCGAAGAATTCTCATTCGAAGGAGCAATAAATGAAGATTATTCTTTCGACATTCAATCTTTCAACCCCAGAAGCAAGGTGAAGCTGAAACTAAAGATTATGTGACGGATTGCATTGAAGCCTCCTCAATCAGTCTGCTGCTATCTTGAACCTGCTGAAGTGATCCAGAAGATTTGTTCTCTCTGATGTTCTCTCTGAAGATTCTCAAGCTGAAAGCGCTATCTTTCAAGAATCAGTACAAGAAGCCTCCTCACCCAATGTGCGTTCAATGTCAAATTCTGAAGAAAAGCCCAACTGCTCAAGATGAAGTCATTCATTGAAGATTCATCAAGTTCATCTTGAAGTTGTGAAGAATTTGAAGATTAATGCTGAAGCCAAGCTCTCGATGAAGATTGACAAGAAAAGCCAGCTACTTTTTAGGGGGAGCTTGTTGGGTCAATTAAGAAAAGAAAGCTATAAACCAAGGGGGAGATTGTTGGGTCAAAATTATGGTTTATACTTTGCTTTTCTGGGCAATTGTATTTTTATGTAATATTTTATGAGTTTACGGCAAGGTGGGTGTTTACGGCCGTAAACCCTGTTTCCGGCCCAAGTCTCCTATAAATAGAGGTTGTGTAGGTCATTATCGGTTGTTGATCCTCGAGAGTTCACGGTCACTGTAAACAAGTTGTACCCGACGTTTTTCAGTTATAAAGCATGTGCAAGCTTGTTTCTATTCTACTTCTACTCCAATTCTTGTTCTTTTTGATTGTTTGATTGTTTGATCACTAGTAAGATCCGTTTTTCAGGACCTTACAGAGAGAGAAGATTCGGTTACACCCAAATGCTCATAGCACACACATAGTTTTTGGAAACTTATCAAAATATGCGGATCTTTTATCCAATCTGTATTCCGACATGAACGCATATCAATGCATATAAATGTTCATAGCTTATATACACACTTCACTCACATAGTTCTCTCGATTTCTCTCATTTCTCCGTCTAGATTTTAGGTTCAAAGAAATCTAATATTTTTCGATCAGCATAGGCATGGAATTACCTCCGACTCTTCTTTCATAAGATGATTATATGTTGTCGACAGTGACGCCAGAATGCAATGACATATGGTTTCGGTTGTAATCGTGGATCTGGATGAAGACCTAAGATTTAATTAAGTTCCTATAATCACGACAACCCAATTACGGAAGATTTCTTAAAGATTTGTCATCAATCATCAAAGTTGTTCCAATCAATCAATCAGTGAAGATGGTTCCTTGGAATTTAAATACTCTTCGACGGTATTGGTTAAACTTAGAGGGCTTCATCATACCACTGTTATGTTAAACTCTAACACAAAAGTAGACATTGAGATTTGACAGCTCCAAAAGAAAGCAAAAATGGGAAACATTATGACGAATCAGTCATGGTATTCAATGATGTTTGGAGTTGTCCCCTTAGGATAGGTTTATAAAATGAGACAGTGTATGTACAACTCCAAACATCATTTAATATCATTACCGATTTGTTATAGTCTTTCCCATGTTTGATTTCTTTTGGAGTTGTCTAATCTCAACAAGGTCCAATCTGTGTGCTAAAGTTTAACCTGAAAGTGTTTCTATGAAGACCCAACGTATTTGAATTTCAAGGAAACGTCTTTACCGATTGATTGGAACAGCTTCGATGATTGATTACAAGTCTGGAAGAATTCTTACAAAATTGGATTGTTGTGATTCCCAAGAACTTCCTTAAACCTTAGGTCTTCATCAAGATCCACAACAACCGAAACCATATGTCCTTCCATTTTGGTGTCATTGCCAATGACAAAGTATATAATTTCTTTTGAAATAAGAACTGGGGGGTAATTCCATACCTACACTGATCGAAAATGTCAGATTTCTTTGAACCCTAAAACCTAGACAGAGAAATAAGAGGAAAATCAAGAGAAATGTATGAGGGAAGTGTGTGTATGTTATGAGCATTTTTGTGCATCGAAAACAAGATATTGCCTGTGTTGGAATACGAGTTGCATAAAAGATCCACATGTTTTGAGAAGATTCCAGGAACTGTATGTGTGCTATTATAAGCATTTTCAATGTGGCCCCTCCCTTGTTAGAATGCAACAGTTAGCTGCCTCACTTGTCTCTCACATGAGGGCATTTCAAGATTTCTATTTTCGGGATTTGCTTTCACATATGAACTAACCTTGTTAAACGATCAAGATGCAACGACCCTTTTTTGCTATTCTGCATTACATAACATGAATTCTGTTAAAATGTATTCTGCATCATATAACATGAATTCTGTTAAAGTGTCGGATGATCTTGTAAACATGGTAGAATTTTTCAAAAACATTTCCGTAATCTTTTAGAATAAGTTGATATATATGATTACAATGGTATTGAACTTTTTGTTTTGGTTTTTAGTTAGATGGTTAAATTTAAATACTGCAAGAGGTTACCATTGTCGTTTACTGTGATTGGTGCATCATTATGTGGTCAAATAGAGATCAACTTTGAAGAAATGGTCAGAAAGTCAATCTATTTTTCATTCAAGCAACCGATTGTTGCTTAGTCTTCAGTAAATTGTTGATGCACTTGAAGATTTGCCAATATTAAGAGACTGTTTTCTAGATTTGGGTTTGTTTCCTGAAGATGAAAAAAAATCGAAGCCTGCTTTAATGGTATGTGGGTAGAATTATACAATTTAGACGATGAAGGAATGTATACCATTGAATACCTTCTTGAACTCTCTTCAAGAAACCTTTCTAATCTTGTTCTCACAAGGTAAATTTAGTTACATCAAATAGTCATAATAATATATATAAAGATTAATTTTGCTATTTCTTGAGTTATTAACCGATTTTTGTTTGATTTTTTTAGGAAAGATGCTAGTGTACTCGAAGGGTATTGTAACGATCATTAGGTCACAAAACATGATTTGTTAAAATCCTTTTCGAAAAAAAAAACTTGATTTGTTAAGTGAATTAGCCATCCATCTAAGCAGCCAAGAACTGATAGCAGAAAGATAAACAATTGTAGATTGACATTTACAAGCATCAAATACCCGTTCTCTTTTTCTTTACGTGCAAGGAATAACAACATACTTTCCTTTATTTGTGTATCACAACATCCTACATACATTTCTTTCTATTATGACAGTTTATTTCCATCTATTTTCTTTATTCCCAAAACCCACCCAATTGTAGCATTATACTTTTGGTTTTTTTTTTCTTACTAGGATATCATACTTTGAAAAATGTAGTCAAAATTGCAAAGTATTTTGATGACATTGCTATAACACTACTAGAAAAGAGGCTTTTCTTGACAGACAATGTCCGTCGTAAATGCCTATACATGACAGACAAATGTCTGTCATTGAAAGCCATGTCATAAAAGAAAATGACAAACATTTGGTCTGTCATAAATTTTACGACAGACCTTTATGACCAACAATTATGATATACATACATGACATTCATTTTTGACATACATTTACGACTGGCTTTGAATTTCATAATTCGTAACATTTTTGTAATTATGACAGACATTTAGGACTTCAAATTACGACATGTTCTGTACAGCATGATTTTTGACATAGTTTTACGACATACTTTGTATGACATGGTTTTACATTATATATATATATATATATATATATATATATATATATATATATATATATATATATATATATATATATATATATATATATATATTCTACCAAATATTAATCAAACTAAATTACAAATTTATTGTCTAAATTACACGAACTATAGTGTCATTCAAAATTACATTCCAAATTCATCAAAAAGTAATTGTCAAATACATATCACTTGTAAATAAAGTTTATAACATAAGTATCCCATTTTTCAAGCACCCTATCATGCAAGCTCGACATATGTATATTCATTCTTCCCTGCAAAACTGAGACAAATTAATATATTAGCAATAAACTATTAAACAATTATATAGGTAAATATTGTAAAACACTTCAAGTCCATCAATTAACTAATGGATTTACTTACATTAAGTCATTAAGTCAAAATAAAATCTGATATGACAATATCTAGTTTTGGGAAATCATTCCCAAAACTTTCACTGACCTTAGTAAGATGTTGCAGATCACTATTGGGCTCGATTTTTGGAGTTTCTCACAAAGTTACACATTTAATATCATTAGAAAAATACATCTAATGAATTTAAAACGTCTGCAAACATATCATGATTGTTAATGACTTACATCAACTGCCCAATCAGGTAGCTCAATTCCTGCAGGTATTACATGTTTTTTTGATATGGGATAAGGCCTTAATGGTCTGCAAAAATATAAGGACATATGAAAAAGATAATTCAGATAAAACTGAGGAATGTTTTAAATTAAATAGGAAGCTTTGTCAAACAATATACCCTGTCCAATCAAAATGAGGAATTTGTGTTGTTCCAGAATGTCCTTCCCTGATACAGTAAAGCCGACCATCACTTGGTGAGGCTATATTAAGTTCCCATGGATTGCTTGATCCAACTGATGATAACTTTGTTGTCAAATGAACTTACTTATGAGAGCTCCATCATGCCTTGAAACATTCTTGAGTGCTGTTAAGAGTAACAGTTATGTTAATATGTAACATGGGCATATCTTCAACTACATAGCATAAAAATATGTTTCATGTGAATTCTATATAAACATGCAGTTATAATAAAGTTTGATGTTGACTAAAGTGTATTTTAGGTACTTAAATGGTAAGGTAAAGGTTCGAGAAGTATTTGACTGTGAAAGATGCGTAAACAACGTTTTATATGATAAAGTTTTAGTAAAAATAAGAGATTATAGTTTCATTATTATTATTAATCAAGAAAACTGAAATACCTGAGTTTGGTGTATGATTCTGAGACTCCATAATAATCAGCAAACTCTATGAGTAACCATTTCCAAGGTTCAACCACCCACAAGTTACGTGTATGGAAGCATTGTGCTCACATGGCAGCTTCCAACAGTATATCATATGCGAGTGTTTCCACCACAGGTCCACATTGTCATTTTAATATAAATTATAAAACAAAAAATCAACATTCGTGAACAACTAATTTTATTAAATTATTTCAAACCTTGAGGTGTGTAGTTTCATCAGATGCAATTGTACTGCTGATAGAAAGTTGGACTTTCCCAATCCATTCATTCTCTTCATAATAAATTGGCCACCATTTGATTCTATCATTCTGTTTACAATGAAAAGTGTTTATAGTTTTATACTTATAAAAAGCAAAATACTCAACACTTACAGGATTGTCAAGTAGGGATGAAATTGGAATATCCGAATGCCTTCATTGAAGTTAACTTTATGGTTTCCTCCCTAAGAATGCAAGATCTAGCAGCTCCTAGAACAAATTAATGATTTTTATCAACCTGAGTATGAAACCTTCGACATGTAGTGCATAGCTTCACGCAAAACTTTTTTTTTTGAAAGAGCCAAAGCTCAGCAAACTTTATTAAAAAGAATAAAAGAATACAAATCCAACAAAAGAACAAATCAACCTACAAATCCCAAATATAACCAACCTATCCATAACCAACTTCCTAACCATTTTTTAATTTCCAAACCTATCCACCCATTACCCCAACCACCCTTATTATCCTGAAAGCTAGCCCAAAGACTTATTGAAAGTGGGAAAAAAGGTAACTTCACCCCCTTGCACCACCAAACCCACAAAATATCCTTAAGACCAAAGCAAGGGGAAAGGCCCTTAAAAAAACCCACAGTCCAAAGGACTAGCCTTAAGATATAACCCAACAATCCCACAACACTATATAAACAAATAACAAAAGGGAAATAAAAGAAATAACAACTAAAACACACATTATCCCTACTATATAAAAACCCGATCAAACTCTCAATCCAGAGCCTTCTGCCACTTCTCCTCCCATCGATCCTCCTTTTTCTTTTACTTCTCTTATCCTCTTCAAACAGGAAGAGCTTCCTCATGGCCTTCAACAAAAGAGAGTCCATTTGAATGCTAATATACACCAACTCCATCCTTTGCAAAAACTTCCTGCACACCAGAAACAAGCCAATCCACAAAAAACCACCACCAACCCTCCATAAATTCAGAACAAGTTTCATACTAGACATGGCATCAATCACATGTCTAGGATTCTCCATTTGAATAATCTCAATTAAGATCATATCCAAACAGAAAATCCCACAGGTACACGTCACATGATTTGAAAGCAAGCTCTCAAACCAGTAACACAATTCGTCAATTCCTTTGTATATAAACTTATTCCAAAAATACCCCCACCAATTCACAGAATGAAAATCAACAAAATTAAGCATCATCCTCATCCAATCCCAAACTCGAGAACCGCCAACCATCAATCTAAGAAACCAAAATATGACTTCCATATCTTATATTCTATCCATTCCAGAAATACCCCAAGTCTTAAAGACTCTATCATTGACCATAATAGCCTTTTTCCTCAACCCCAACAGCTTCAATTGTATTTCACTTTCAATACAAGAAATCACCACCTTATGCGAATTCCTCCTACTACTAAAGAGTCTAGAATTTCTCTCCTTCCAAATATGAGAAACACAACTGGCAAACACACATTTATTAACCAAATTCTCAACCGACTTCCCTTTGAAAGAAATGCTCAATTTCAAAATTAAATCATTCCAATCATCAAAAAAGATATTAAGACCGATCTTATTACAAAAATAACTCCAAATAAGATGAGAAAATTCACATTTGAAGAAGAGGTGATCATGGGAATCAGAAGAAATAGCACAGAATGGACAAAGTAAATTACCAGAAATCACCCAACCTTTGACTCGATCCTGGGTCTTCAATCTATTCAAAATAGCTAACCATAATATAAACGAATTTCGAGGAATGCAGTTACCATACCACACAATATCATACCAAGGAACTTTGTCACCAAAATTATTTATATCTCTCCACACCTGTTTGCATGAAAATTGTTTACACACCCCATTCTTATCTCTCCAACCAGTAACATCCCTCTGATTAGCATCAATACAAAACATGGGACCATCCTTCAATCCAGGGAATTCAATCACCCACTCAACCGGCCATAAATAGAAATCATTAACCATAACATCACTGACCTTGGATATATCACTAAACCCATTTCTAATCCAATCCCTTCTAGATATAATAGTGCTTAAAATACCAATTGGGTGCCACCAGTCATGTCAAAGAGAAGTATTCATCCCATTTCCCACACACGAAACTACATGAGGCCTAACAATTTTCCTCACCTCAAGGAACCTCTTCCAAGTCCAGCTCATACTCTTCTTCTGTAAAATATCCCAAAAGTTCCTATCACCAATGTAATTGTTTTTCACCCATTGGACCTAAAGAGAGTTTTTATTATTAATCACATTCCACACATGTTTAGCTAACAAGGCATCATTCCATTTCCTTAAATTCTTCACCCCTAACCCACCATAATCTTTAGGCCTACAAATATCAATCCACTTGACTTTAGCTTTCCCTTTGACTATCTCACCATTCGCCCACAGGTAACTTCTACAAATCTTCTCAATCTCTCTAATTGTGGCAATAGGAATTTTAAAGATCGAGGCCCAATACACATGAATAGTAGTCAAAACAGAATTAATGAGTTGCAACCTCCCAGCAAACGATAAGGCCTTACTTTTCCAATTAAGAATTCTCATCTTAATCTTCTCAACAAGCTGTTTACAATCTCTGCAAAATAACTTAGTAACACACATAGGAATTCCAAGATACTTAAAAGGAAATTTCCCAATATCAAAAGGAAGAATGCCCAATATAATCCTTCTCATATTGGGTTTAACACAGCTAAAGAAAATCTGACTTTTTTCCATGCTCGCCTTTTTTGAAATCATCAGGAGCATCCCTTATGACTCTAGCTGAATTCCCATTCCCATAAGAGAAGACTAACAAATCATCAGCAAAGCATAAGTGTGTGATTTTTTGGGACAAAAACTTACTATGAAACTTAAAATTCTGGCAATCTTCAATTTTCTTCAAAAGAATGAGATTAAAAACCTCCATAACTATAGTAAACAGGTAAGGAGATAGAGGATCACCCTGCCTAAGACCCCTTTTACCTTCAAAAAACCCGTGATCTTCACCATTAAAATTCAACATGAACCACGGAGATGACACACAAGCCATAATCCACTGAGTCATTATCGGATGAAACCCAAAACCCAAGAGGATCCTTTTAAGAAATTTCCAATCCACCGTGTCATAAGCCTTTTGAATGTCAATCTTTAAAGTACATTTAGGAATTCCTCTTTTATTTTTATAACCTACCATCAAATCCTGAGCAAGAAGAATATTATCTAAAATAGATCTCCCTGGAATGAAAGCTGATTGATTTTTGCTCACAATATCTCCCAGATTATTTCTAATTCTATTCACTATAATCTTACTAATACACTTGTACAAAGTGTTACAGCAAGCTATAGGACGGAAATCAGAAACTTTCCTCGGGAACTCCACTTTAGGGACCAGCACAATTCTCGTAGCATTAAGCCCTTTCAACAATTTACTAGTCCAAAAAAATTCCCTCACAGCTTTACACACCTCCGGCCCAACAATATTCCAAACACTTTTAAAAAATTTGGAGGAAAACCCATCCGGACCAGGGGCACGATTGTCATCAATATCAAACATCGCAACTTTAATTTCTTCATCAGTAACCACTCTAATCATATTCAAAGCCACCCTACTGTCCAATTTATTATGAAAGAACCCATCATTTAAACACGAGAACTCAGTTATATCTTCACATCCCTAAAACTTCTTGAAATGATTCACAAATTTCTCCTTCATAGTCTTCCCACTAACCCATCTTCCATCTTCATCAAGCACCATCAATATACGATTTTTATTACCCCTGCTCTTCACAACTCTATGAAAAAACTTAGTATTATTGTCCCCTTCCAATAACCAATTCATCTTAGATCTCTGGGAGAGAAGCATTTCTTCATCATTACACGCAACATTGAACTCAAAAAGAGTATTAACATGCTCCTCCCTAATCTTACTATCAAAAGGATTAAGATCAATGTCAGCTTGTTTACTTTCCAATTCCTTTCTCAACTCTTGAATTCTCTTCCCAGAACCCCTGTATTTACTACATAGCTCCCGACAATACTTTTTAAGAATCTTCAACTTCTGAAAAACTTTGAACATAAAAAAACCTTCAATATTAGTGCCCCAAATCTCTTTAACCAAAGGTAAAAACTCCTTCTTCTCTGTAATAAAATTGCCAAACCTAAAAGAAGGTTTCCATCTCAATTTGCCAGCAGGAACATTTAAAACAGCATGACAATGGTCCGACACCCTATAAGGTTTAAAAACAGCATGAGCTAAAGGATTATCAGAAACAAATTTCAAATTAACCATCACCCTATCTAACTTCTTCAAAAGACCCTTATTCCCAGCAGGAGATTTGTTCCAAGTAAACTGAAAACCAGTGCAATTCAGATCCTCAACTTCAATAGAATTTATACAGTCAATAAATTCATCAACTCCTTTCGGCATTTTAGAACAATCTTCAGAATATTCCGAAGGCTTTAAAGCAACATTAAAGTCACCTAAAATTCCCCAAGCTTCCTTCTTAACAACCAAACTATGTTTCTTCAGATTATCCCACAATAACCTTCTCTCTACATAAGTCGAAGCAGCATATATAAAAGACAAATACATGCTATAGTTAGAATCACAGAACCTAACATAACAATGTATTACTTGTCTAGACTGAGAAATCACCATCACATCGAATAATCTAGGATTCCATCCAACAATTATTCTAGTTCCAGCCTCACAGCTGCTATTATTAGAAACCCAATCCCATTGACCAAAGGTCTTAACACACACATTCTTAAGATTTAAGACCTTAACATGAGATTCCACCACAGCACATATACCAAGGTTATTACTCCTAATAACATCAATAACCTCCTTTTGCTTAATGGCTTTATTCAAGCCCCTGACATTCCAAACCCCTATAGACATCATTGGGAATTAATAGAGTTTTTGGCATTTACCACCTCAAATGCCTGAGAAGCCCCACCTTTGCTATTACTGTTCCCCTGATCACTCTTACTATTCTTCATTTTATTGCTTTCATTCACTATTTCACCCTTCCCAAAAATCTTAGAAGGATCCATCTTATTATTCGTTACTCCAACAGCATCAGAAGAAAAAGCAATACAATCTCCTTCCTGTTGGCCAACAACCTTGTCCCCCTTAGCATCCTCTTCCATTCCATCCATAACTTCCTCACCAATCATTCCCAGGATTTCAAAACTATTTTTATTACTGCAACCATCACCAGTAACATCCTTATTTTCTAAATTCTTGCTAACACCCACCTTTATGATATCATCCTCTTTAGTATCCCCCTGCACCTTATTCCCCTTATTCCCCTAATTACTAGTCAAAGTCTGACCTGTAGCATACTTCTCATATCTTCGATTCTTTTCCAAATTCCAGTGACTCACCCCTCTATTGTTCCAGTTCCCATTCTGTCCCCTACCATTACCACCTCTATTCCCATTATTACCCCTGAAACTATTTCCCCTATTAAAATTGCCATTCTTTCCACTATTTCTCTGATTATACAAATTAGAAGGACCCTCCATAGTTTTACTAGGACCATCACCATCTTTATTTCCTTTAACCTTCTTATTAACAACCTCAGTAAAACCTTCATCATTAACCACTTCCTTCCCTTTATTTCCCTTATTGGTCCCATTATCCCCATTCTTTAAAACTTTATCTTCATTCAAAACTGCCATACAAACTTTATCCATATGACCATAGACCTTAAAGTGATTACATCTAGAAGGAATCCACGCATACTCCACATCAAAACTCTGAGTCACAGCAGAATTAGAAACAAAATCCCAAGTAGATACCTCAATTTTCCTCTTCCACTCCTTATCAGCCGCCATTTCAACAAGAATTCGAGCATAAGCATTCCTACCCTTGTGTTCCAAACACATCTCCTCAGTAAAAGAATCAAAAGCTAGAGGAACCCTCAACTTACTCGCAATAATACATAGATTGTCCCCACTCCAAACTTCCAAAGGTAAATCATAGATTTTGATCCACACCGAAATTTTATCATGACTGTTCTTGGTTAAAGTCAGCCCGGTCTCCACCGTTGAAGAAATAAAGGCATATTATTGAACATTAGCCATGGACTTCCCTCCAATATAGATAACATCCCCTGCTCATCACTAAATTTAAAAAAGAAAAATCCTTTACTGTTCATGAAGATCTCCTCAAGCCCCACATTCCTCCACAGCCTTCTAACCTCTTTTTGAATTACAGGAAACGTCAACTTCTTATCAATCATGTACCCATATAAAGTATTAGTATATGGAATACTCGCCTTCTTTAAATTCTCAATCGGAATAATAACTGGTCCTTCTTCCTTACCCTTTTCCCCTGGTATAAACTTAACATCAATCTTACCCTTATGCCTATTACCTTTTAACACACCAGCATAAGAGTTCAACAAGTTCCCCTGACCATCACCATCCACCTTCTTACAAATATTTGCATCACCCAATATAGAGGGAAGCAAATTAATACTGTTAATAACAGTACCAGACTTCAGCTTTGAATTAGGCTCATTATTCACCACAGTATTACCCTTCTCTTCCATCACAATTTCCTCATCCTCACTAGACTCATCCTCACTAGATTCATCATCACTAGACTCATCAGAAGAATCATCTGTATCATTACCATCTTTATTCCCATTAACTTGCTTATTCAAAATTGATATATCAACATCCATTTCCTGATTCAAACTACTGTCTATCTCCTTTTTCTTAGGAGTATCCTCCTTTATCTTATTAAGGAATTGAAACCCAACACCCGGAATAAACTCTTCATTATTCATAATGTTCTTATCATCAACCTTAATACCACTTTTATCAATCCCATCAACCCTAGATTTCTCAACTTCACAATCAACCAAATTAGGGCATACAGGTTTTGAGACATCATTCACAGAAATGTTAGGTTCGCCCTAATCATTTGACTAGTAACCATTTTCAATTCCGAACTAGGACTCAATAATTCATCATTCACCTTAGAACCATCCCAATTTTTCAACAAATTAGCAGTGTTACCTGAAGGAATAGAAACAACTTGAACTCCTACAGCCTTCACCTCACCAAGACCACCATCCTTCAACCCCTTCAGAGTGTTATCATTTCCAGGAATCGAAACACTAGCATCCGACTCCCAAGCCGACACAGACTCTGAATCATCTTCCGTTTCCTCCTCTGTAACTTCTTCAGTGTAACATTCCACTGCATCCATCGGAGACATCCCATCCACAATTTTCCGAGCCCGATTCTTCACTCTAAAAGCTTTCCCCTCCATTTTCCATTCAGCCTTTCCAATCCCCGAAGCAACAGCTCCAGAAGCACTTGGCTTACGACGAGTTTTGTAGATCATAGCTGATGACTGATCAATGACCCCAGGAGGAACCAGATCTTTCACATCCACTTCAGTCCTAACATACCGGACAGCAGCACTTTTATCCGGCGGTTTTACTTTCACTTCCTTCGATCCGCTTTGGATGACGCACCAATAAGGACAACGGAAACAGAAGAGAAATTGCTACTACAACGAAAAGGAAATCGTCGGAGAAGCAGCACCGATGAACCAAGAACTAGATCGCACCACCGTTAGAGAGAATCAGGGGAAGAGAGAGAAAGTAGAGAGAGAAAGCGAAATAGTTTTTTTAAATCCTTATACACTTTTTTTAAAATTTTATTAATAGGAGCTTATGTTTTTATTTTTAAAAAGTATTTACTGATTAAGAATTGAACTAGGAAATTAATTAGCTTAAACACTTGATCACTGCTTAAATTAATTGATTTTCTAAGGTTAGGTGTTGTTTGTTTCGAACCTTCAATATTAAAAACTTTCTTTGCAAAATATCGTCTAAGATGAATAGTTGCGTATAAGACAAACCTACTGCTAAAAATAGTCAAGATGACTCTACCCAGGTAAAATCATTATTATGAGAATGGCCCTGTACAGAAGCAGAATATTGGCCCCATCAGAAATCATTTGTTTGGTGCAAAAGCTTTAAAATAAGCCAAAACCAAACAATTAAACAAAAAAAAGATAAATAATGATAATATTCAATGTAGAACAATAGAATTCACTAAAAAGTCGAATTATTTGATCAATGATATTCAACCTATTAAATAAAAAGTCAAAACATTAAACTGTAAGTCTGTAACTCACCTTGGCATTATATCGAACACCTAGTGGACAGAATTTGCAAGACATATTTATTAGACTAATTCTTTAGCAGGATAAAGCCTTCAAGTGAATCATTCGATATGCCTTTAACCTAATCAATATATCACTAACTACTTATAGCATTTTCATGAAAATTAAAAGTAAAAAAAATGAAGTAAACGCATAACTAAAAGATTATTGGATGTAGGAACATTCGATAGAACCTTACCTTTGTATTTGATCGATCGTTGGAGTATCACTCGACATTTCCTAATTCAAATAAACAAAAAAGAAGTTATTAGTTTGGAGCATTAGGAAAATGGGATTCAATACGTAAGCCAACCCCACAACAACGTCACTGCTTCTGCCCACGTCCTTCTTCGGTCTAGTCGACCACCGGAGCTCGCCACTCGAGTGTGATCGGTCTGAAATCGCCAAACGAGAAAGAGAAGGCTTCGCTGCCTTCGTCTCTTCTCCCTCTTCGCGATCGTTTAGGGCTTCCGGATTAGCCGCTGCGAGCCTTCGCTCTCCTCTCTTCCCCGGTCGAGCCACACGCCGACGACGGCCTCTGACGACGGCCACCCTACCGATTGTTGAAGAACCAGCGAACCCCTCCCATTTTTCATATTTCCTTCGTGTTTTCCCTTCACTATGATCGTTCATAAGCTCGTCCGTTTGTATGCCCTTTTCTTTCCCGGTCGTTGAAGTCAAGGGCAATTAAAAGCCCTAAATTTTCCTTAATTTAGTCTTTTAAACAAATACAGTCCCTCCATGAGATTTCCGTTTATAAAATCCCTAAAATCATTTTGCATTTATAAATGAGCAAAATGCACCCTCACTTGATCCGGTTATACAAAATGAGTATCGATTAGAGAGAAGCGACTAACATGACAAACAGAGGAGCAACGGAGCAAAATAAGATGATCAAAATATAAACAACTAAAAAACAGGGACAAATTATAGCAAGTGAGCAAAGTAATTTGGTCAAAAATATGAAACATAATAAAACAGGGATACATTATAGTAACCGAGCAAAATAAGGTTATCAAAATATCAAAAACCAAAAAACATGGACAAATTATAGAAGGAAGCAAAGTAATGTGTCAAAATATGAAACAAAAGAAGTAAACTGTTCTTAACTGTGTTAGGAATTAAAGTAATATATATATATATATATATATATATATATATATATATATATATATATATATATATAAATTTATGTCGTATGTTAATTTGTTAAATTTTAAATAAAAAATAAACAATGTGCATTTTAATGTATGAATTGATTTGTTTTTTATGAGTTAATAGGATACGCAAAAAACATTATTTATATATATATATATATATATATATATATATATATATATATAAATAATGTTTTTTGCGTATCCTATTAACTCATAAAAAACAAATCAATTCATACATTAAAATGCACATTGTTTATTTTTTATTTAAAATTTAACAAATTAACATACGACATAAATTTATGACAAAGAGTTTTGTCCGTCCATTTATATTTTATGAAATATGACAAACTTTAATGACAGACATTTTTATGTCTGTCATAAAACTGTTGTACGTCGTAATTCGTCTGTCAAGGAAAGTATTTTTTCTAGTAGTGTAATGGGGTAGATTTTTCAAAGTACATTGTTACATTAGGAACAAATAAAAGTAAAAAAAAGAGTAAATTACACGAATGGTCTCTATGGTTTGGGGTAATTTGCGTGCTTGGTCCCTAACTTATTTTTTTAACTCGGAAGGTCCCTATGGTTTGTTTTTGTTACGCGCTTGGTCCCTGTCCTACCTAAAAAGTTAGGGACCAAGCGACACTAACTGTGAGCATTCCTTTAGCAACTGTGCACCTTGACAACTAGATTCCAATTCTAGTACATTATTACCCTTTCCTTCACATTACATATACAAAACTTTATGGAAGAAAAATAAAGAAATAACCCCTCCAATGTAATAAATTGTATGAAGAGTGATGAAACATTTAGGCATCTTAATGTATTAAACTCTATAGATTTTAATGGATTTACACATCATCATTCTATTTTTTTTTAAACTTAACAATTTTCGTTGTTGGTATTATTGACCAATGAATTTGCATACTATTTCAGATAGAAAACTATATTGCATTAATAAACAAGACGTTTGATAAAAAAAAAAAAAAAAGCCCTTAAGAACATGTGTATTCCAATTGAACTTCTCAACAAATTGTAATATTTTATAACTATTTGTACGTACAAATTTGAATCCACGTGTTAACACATTTAACGTGCAGCATACATTTTATGCACATTATCACTTTAAACAAAAAGCGTCGATATTCTATACGTCTTATTGTCATTGCAACGAAATTAACGACAACGAAATACCTGATACCATCTTAAAAAAAATGTTGAAAACATGCGAGGGCTACTCTTGTATTTGATAGTCATACATAATCATTATTTTGTTAAAATTAGAAATCATGGAAATGTTAGGATATTAAAATATTATTTTATCGGTTTGAAATAATGAAAATGAGAATAAATTTCTATGATAATATTAGAAAAGAACTAGTCTCATAAATAAATAAAGGTATTTTCTATCATAGTATAAATCGATATAACTTAATAGCAATGTTGTAAAAATCCCGATTAATCTGCGATTAATCTATAGGCGCTACTCGACCGACTGGAGGACGCTAACGATTAATCCATGTATACACGATGAGAGAAACAGTAGAAAATGATGAAATTTTAACACTTTGAAGAAAATCTAACTCAATAAAAAAAACTATTTGATGAATGATTAGTGTTGTATTAATCATACTAATCTATTTTGTTATGAGATTAATAGTATTTATGAACTTTGTTATGATATTAGTTATATTTATTTTTTTTTTAAATTCAACAAATTAGCAATTAATGGTCCCGATTAATCACCGCCTAGCCGATTAATCATTTAACTCCAGTTCACCGACTAGGAATGTTTTTTACAACTTTGTTTAATAATAATTCTATCTTGTATTTCTTTTTTCTCTGTTGTTTCTTGTATCTTGTATGTGGTAGCACCACAATTATGGCCTTTTAGATTTTAGCTTGTTTGAACTTATTTTAATGAAATTAATTTTATTATGATTACTTAGACGCCATGTTACTTGATCTCGCATTTAGGTATGCACAAATCCTAATTACTAATGATTTATGTAACAATTTCAACATATCACTATAAATTAGTTCAAATGTATTTATTAGAAAACAACATTCTAAACCCCTTTAAAATTTTAATTATATTCTAAAATAATTGTTTTATTACAATTTTTTATTTTTTTTTGAGATCTTAGGCAATCGGTTGACAGTTGACTTGTCCATTTGACAATGATCAAATGACAACGTCTAAACATAACACGCAATTAACAGAAAAGATTATGGAGATTTAGATTTCTCATTGATCATATAAGTACATGCAATGTGAATAGGCATCATGAAGGTAATAAATGATTTATGTTCGGTAATTCCCACATAAAAAAGTCCACATAAATTAGTGTGGTATTACTTGCCCTTTATGCAACAAGGAGAATGAATCAACAGATCATTTGCTCATTTGCTCATTACTTGTGACTATACTCGGGAGGTACAATATTGGATCCTTAAATGGTTTGGAGTACAAAGGAGAAGATTCTTGAATGTTAAAGAATTCATTAATTATGCAACTATTTGGGGAAACTGACCTAGAAAAAAAAAGATTTTAAACTTGGTGTTCTATTGTCTTCTGTGGAATATTTGATTGGTCAGGAATGACAAAAATTTTAAGAAAATTGTTGCACCACCGACAAGAACTGCGGACAACATTATTTCCTCATCCTATGTCTCGTATAAGTAAAGAAGCAATTGTGGATGTGGAGCATGGACCGATTGGTGTATTTCACCTTTCTTTCATTTTTTTCGTAGTTATGTTCCTTTGTCAGATACTTATTATCTTTACTTTTCTATTTGCATTTGTATTCCTACCTCGTTTTAGCTTCTTGCTTGCGAGTGCTTGTTTTTTTTTCTTGTTTTAATATATTTGTCGTTTAAAAAAAAATCATTTTTCTATAGATACATTTAACACACGTCTCAAAATCTGACAAATCAAGAGTTGGTAAAGCTGCATCTCTCACGAGCGTTAACATTCGGTCCCATGATATATTACCTAAACATTAATGTCATAACATTGACATGTTTCAAAATCTCGATTTCATTTATTAAAATTTTCATTCACATCATATGAAAACAATAATTTTGAGAAATGAATATTTAAGTAAAATTTATAGAGATTTCCCTTCAAGTACCATAACCAATAATGTTTGAATTAAGCTAATAGTTACTTTACCATCACCAAATGTTACCTCGTATACATAATTGTCTAACTTTTTACAAAACTAGATTCTGAGTCATGATAGGTACATAAAAAGGATCATATGAGTTGATACAATATCCACCTTCCATAACTAATTGCAAGCTACCTATAACATCAACATTTAGTTTGTAATCATTTTGAACATTAATGGTCCTTTGTTTGCTTTCCAACCTCGGGATGATATGGAGTCCTTGTAAGGAATTTGTAATATGTGCCACGAAACAGAATCAACACAATATGTGTTTGAAGGAATATTTATATTAAATGACTCATAAATCATAAATGAATAAGTATTACCATTCTTTGCTAGTCACTCATTGAAACTGGGGCATTCTTGTTGAAAATATCATTTCTTATGAAAAAAAAAATTACAATGAGGGGGACCCTTTGGTTTGCTTGAACTCAAAGTGTCACTTGTACTTGACTTTTGAGACTTTGAACTTTCCCCAAATTGAACCTTGAATTTTTTTTTTTTTTCTTTTTTTTTGTGGTATTGACGTTGTCAACATCTGGCATCTCCACTTCGAGGCGTTCCTCCTCCTAGACACATGACAATCAACTCACTCATCTTCCACTTATCCTTCTGAGTGTTATAGTTGATCTTGATGGACTAAACTATGTAAGGGGGACGTCATAATGAAGTGGACCAAGAAGCCCCCGCTTATCTCCATGACCACATCTTGTAGCTTATTTGCAACGTCCCTCATCATCATGATGTGCTCACGCACACCGCTCACACCATCATACTTAATTTTCAACGTCTTTAGTATTAAAGTATTCACATGAGCCTTAGAGGTGTCTTTGAATCGTTCCTCTACAGATATCAAAGTAGGTATTCATATTTTTTGTTATCGATATGGAGTTCTTAATGATCATGATTGACATACGAAACTTCTCATTCAATTAATTCACAGATCATACACGTATAAATGCAAGGTGTTGAATCACATTCACACCCACATATCACAATCTTTCTCCACTAAATAAGGAGTAAAGTAAAATACAAGAGACTAAGAAAAATGAAACAAACGTTGGCTAATTCAAACTGATAAGGTTTATGATAAGGTTTATGAATATAAACATTATTACCCCTTCAGCCACTTTACACATGCATTATTACTATTTCCTTCACTTTACCTATATAAGGGCTTATGGACGAAAAATAAAGAAACAACTCCTAGATGTAATAAATCATACGAAGAGTGTTGAAAACATTTAGGCATCTCGATTTTAATGGATGTGCACATTATCACTCTACTTTTCATAAAACTTGACAAAAAAAAGTTTCCTACAATACACTGAACTCTACAAGATTTCAATGAAACAATACTTTTATAATAATCATTTTATATCAAAAAGTTTCATTTTTCTCATTGAATAATTCAATGGTCACTGAACTCCAAATTCATTTAACGCCAACGTGTCAATATAGTACACTATGATTGAGTTTAATCAATAGAACAACCAAAAACTTTACATCATTCAACCATTCCATTAAACTATGCATTATGGATGCTTTTAGTGTTTGTCTATATCAAAGCGAGCTTGTTTTGGATGATCAAACATTAGACGACCATCAAAAGCTTTCATGCATATTTTATGTGTTCTTTATCGCTATATTTCATACACGATTTACTATTTATAACAACCCAAACTTCCAAATCACCAAAATAAAAGTAAAACACATCTTATTGGTATATAAACATAAAACATTACAACTTACACAATATGCAATACATTTATTGATACAAATTTACTATTTATACAACATAGAGTAGAATTATATTTTAAAAAGGATTTTGTAACCATCATAACTGGCCCTATCAATTGGGCTTGGGCTGCAGATGCTGCTTTTTTGACTCAGAGTCAACAAGGACTGATCAACCATTCAACCAGAGAAGAGGTTGGGCTAGCCCAGTCAAAAAGGCCTGCTCTAACAAAGAGCGGGCCATCGGCCCGCTCGCCACTAATGTGCAACTATTTTCATGAAGTTTGCAAATCGGTCATCTTCAACTGTATTTATCTTTAAATCACAAAGATCATCTTCATAATAGCTCCATAAATATGAAGTCTCTTCGTCACAAATCACATCTTCCAACAAACACAAATCAATCACCGAATCGGGTAACTCTTCTAATCCCCGACAACCACTCATCTTAATCACTCTAAGACCATTCAACTTCCCAAGCTCATAAGGCAACATATTTATACTCAAACAATCCGATATATCAAGGAACACCAAATTACCAAGGAACCTAATCGAATCGGGCAATCGAACTAACCTCGTACAAGAATGAATCCTTAAAATCTCCAAATTCGACAAACTCCCCAATCCCTTAGGAAGAGAGTCAAGCTCATGGCAATTAGTAATGCTTAGTTTCTTGAGATGATCAAGACTACAAAATTCCGAGGGTATTTCCGTCAAATCATAACAACGGTCGATTTCAAGCTCTAAGAGATTTGGAAGCGTAACATTTGTACAACTCGCTAATGCACTACCGATCTCACACATGGTAACTGAAAGCTTCTTTAACTCATACAATTCCAAAATGGATTGGATTGAGTGAGAAAGCGAGAGATGTTCGAGTCTTATACGTTTTAGATTTGTTAGAGAACTAATGAATTGAAGTTCGTGTAACTCGCAAGGACATGTCCCATAACTTGTGATGATTAAAACTTTTAATTTATTCATTTTTTTTATGAATGGGGGGAGTTCGTATTTCCGACTTCGTATGTTTAATACCAAAACTTCAACGTTTGGGGCGTTTAGATCGTACCAAATCGACGAGAATGATTCGTCTGCAGAAAGAAAATGGACATTTTACATTGGTTTTGTTAAAGAAATGGTTAATTACAAGAAATAGCAACATAATTTTGTTGCTTTGTTTATTATAGCATCATACTTGAATTACAGTTGGAGCCTAGTGGTTGAGGTGCATAGTTCCAAAAGGAAGACCCACGGTTTTTGTTGTTTTTTTTTTTAACTTTTATGTATTCTCATTAAAACAATGTACTTTGAAAAATCTACCCAATTAAGAAAAATAATCAAACGGATAATGCTACGATTGGGTGGATTTTTTGGAATAAAGAAAAAGGATGAGAGTACACTGTCATAATAGAAAGAAATGAAAGTAGGATGCTGTGATACACAAATATAAAAAGTAAGTGGTGCTATTTTTTTGCACATAAAGAAACAGAGAATGGGAAGAAGTGAAACCTGTTGTGATAGACAAGAAACGTGCAGCGATTGGTTCTTGCTTTTGTTGAATCCACCATGTGGGTATTTGATTCTTGTAAATTTCAATCAACAATCTTGTTCTTTGAGATATTGGATCTTGGCTACTCAAATGGATGGCTAATTCTCTTAACAAATCATGTTGTGTGACATAATGCTCGTTACAATACCCTTCGAGTTCACTACCATCTTTCCTGAAAAATATCAAAAAAAAAATCGATTAATCACTGGAGAAATAACAAAACTTTATATATTATTATGAGTATTTGATATAACAAATTTTTACCTGGTGAGAACAAGATTGAGAAGGTTTCTTGAAGAGAGTTCAAGAAGGTATTCACTTGTATACATTCCTTCATCATCTAAATTGTATAATTCTACCCACATGTCCATTAAAGCAGAGGCTGTGATTTTTTCATCTTCTGGAAACAAACCCAAATCTAGAAAACAGTCTCTCAGTATTGGCAAATCTTCAAGTGCATCAACACTTGACTGAAGACTAAGCAACAATCGGCTGCTTGAATGAAAAATAGATTGACCTTCTGACCATTTCTTCAAAGTTGACCTCCATTTGACCACATTTTGACCACATAATGATGCACCAATTACAGTAAGCGCCAATGGAAACCCCTTGCAGTATTTAACCATCTAAATCAAAAACCAAAACAAAAAAGTTCATTTCCAGTGTAATCATATTCTAAAAGATTAAAAAAATGTTTTTGAAAAACTTTACCTTGTTCACAAGATCATCTGGCACGTTAACAGAACTCATGTTATGAAATGCAGAAGAGCAAAAAAGGGTCTTTGCATCTTGATCGTTTAACAAAGTTAGTTCATATGTGGAACCGAATCTTGAAAACAAGAATCTTGATGTCACCAAGATTTTGTATCCTGATATTGGAAACTTAAGATCTTCAATAAGTGATTCGGATTCTGACCACACGTCATCCAACACCAGCAATATGTTCTTTGATCTCATTTGTCTCATAAAGTTCTCTAATTGGTTCTTTGCCTCTTCATTAGTTTGTAACTCACAATGACTCACATGAAAATGTGTAAATAGTTTCTGGATGATTGTCTTCAGGGAGGTTGTTCTAGAAACAGTAACATAAAAGATGTTGTCCCCAAAAATGCCTGTACAAAACAGAACAGTTAAGAATGAGATGAAGAATAGATGCAAAGAAGAAAAGTTGAATAGTTTATGTACCTTTGATTTCATTATCATGACAGAGCATCTTTACTAATGTAGTCTTCCCACATCCTCCAGGAGCTGAAACTGTTATGACCTGGTTGTCATCTTTGAGCACCATTCTTTTCAGTTTTTGAAGATGAAAATCCAACCCAATGATCACATCTGGAAGCCCTGGAACACTGCAAGAATCAGAAAATCCACCTGTCTGTTTGGTAACAGCTGCAAGGACTTGATCCAATTTGTCTCCCAAAGCATAAATCTCAAACAGACTCCTCCTGCTAGAACTCAAATTATCCTGCAATTCACTCTGAAAGAATCTCAAAAGCATGTTGTCCAATCCAATTAGCTTGTTGGCGTGAAGAAATTTCTTGTACACATTCCAACATTTTGATCTCTGAGCACTCCAGAACTACTTCCTTTCCATTTGCCACATAATATATGAACATTTTGGTCTCGTTTTCAGGACGATATAAAACTTTTCTCAACCTCTCATATCCATAAAAAATCGGCTCAATGTTCCTTAAAGTTCTCTCGATGCGCTTCAGTAGAGTTCTAAATTTGGGGGTTCTTTTGGTTTCGAATACCACAGTATTCAGTAACTCCAACATTACTGTTCGTAGAGCTGCTTCATTAGCGTTTGGTGCAATCATCTGTAGATATGACAATTTAAGTAAATAAAAATCATAATAAGACACAGGAAAGTAAAATCAAAACCCTAGCAATACGCCTAAGACTTAAACTTCAAATTCAATAACGTGAAAGCGACAATAACTTACGATAATTCATGGGTTTGTAATTCGAATACAGGGAAATACATTTATATGTTCGATTGTTACTGTTGGGAATCTAAGAACATACTCAATTACAATGAAGATACTCCGACACTTCAAATTTATGAGATTACGAATCAATTTCCGCGACAAAGTAAGCGATTAAAGCGTGTGAACAGCGGATGAAGGTCAGAAGGTAGATGGAAAGCAGCGGGAGCTATCGACGAACGGCTCCGTCAACGGTTTTTTGATTTGGTGGGTAAATGGAACGAGTTAACAAATTGGATACCGTTTCGTCCATGTATATAAACAATTTAGAGTAAATTACATATTTGGTCCCTGTGTTTTTCTCCAGTTCATATTATTAGTCCTAGTGATGATTTTATAACATGACTGGTCTCAGCGGGTTGTTTTTTCTTTTCTTTTTAGTTATTTATGTATTTAAATAATTAGAAACTCTCTCTCTCTCTCTCTCTCTCTCTCTCTCTCTCTCTCTCTCTCTCTCTCTCTCCTCTGTGTGTGTACCAAAATTGTTAAAATCACCATCTTAATCGTAATCCTACAATCTCACGTATGCAAATCAAGACTAATATTACTTGGAGCGTTTTTTTGTAAAATCATAGTAGATTTATATGATCGGATAGTAAGATCGTAGAATGCAAACCATAGGAATCAGTAGGATCATTACTATTTTTTTATAAAATAGTATTGGAACAAATACAAACCATAGGGATCGGTAAGTAAAAAAACCAATACTATAACCAGTAGTAAGAATTTGGGCAAACCAAACGGACCAAATGTATAATTTACTATACATTTCATGAAAGACGAATTAATATGTGAAGGAATATATTTTGACTATTTATTTATCTACTCCCACTTTATCTCTAGATATAACACTTTATAAACTATAAGATTTCTTGATATTTTACAGAAGTTAAAGGACCAAATTGACAATTAAGATAAAGTTGGTTGTAATTTTTTTAGTCATATCCATTTGTATTTTATGACAAATTTTTTAGACTAATGTAATATATAACCGATAAACCGATATAATCAATATGAAGAATGTTGTGATTGTATGACATGTATACAACTCACTTGAACAAGATAAGTTTTTATATTATAGAATCCATGTGATGAGCACACATAAACAAAGACAATTCGTACCACTTTCTCCACTCTTGAAGGCATAGTGTAGACACAACTTCAGTTTGTAACTTTTACGCACAACTCGTGAGCAGAACTAGCGTGGTTTGTCTCAATTAGTATTCACTGAAAAGAATGTTATTTAGGATTTTGTGTTATGTATTATGAGACCTCTTATATAGATGAAGAATTAGTATTTATTTTCATTGACTAGATCTTCCATATTATTATATGAAACCGTAATTGACTTAACCTTTATGACCAAATTGTAATTATCCATTAGTTAAAACTAAAATTCAAAATCCAATTTAACATTTGAATATGAACTAAATTATTTGGTAATAATCTACCGTACTGAAAGAATAATTGAAATTATAATATATGACTTGTTACACATTCTTTCCAATTACTATAATCGATGCATTATTGATTTTGAGATTTGTTTGTAATCTTTTATATTTTGTTCCTTTTAAGGGGTTTGATATCGAAGGGTTTGATATCGAGCGAGGGCACTTGGTTCTAGTATATGGAACTCTTATTTCTAGTTATGACTCATGCTCAATTTCGTATCATAAAACACTTTGTCTGATTTGGATATGAGTAGCAATGGATCCAAATATGAGACTTAATTGGCTAATAGTTTGAAACCTTGATTACAAAAATAAAGTTATAAAACCACAATCATAATCAAGCATCGTTATTGAAGTTTATGGCATGTCACATGCGAGATTTTTCTTAAGACAACAATAATAATAATAATAATAATAATTAATATATTTGTGCAGTGCCAAATTTTATGCCATTTGTTACCAAACCAAGATGGATGCATTTGTATCTATATCTGATATAAATACATATGGTAATGGTGTATTATGATTTTCTCCTCCCCTTATTATCATAGAAATATATATACAAAAAAATCCATCTTTATCTTTCTCTTGTAACACCTAAACAAATAAAGAATCAATAGTTATGTCACACCCCCGAACCAGACGGCGGAAACGTCCGGGGGTTGGGTGACTACATTTTGTAATATCACCACAGTGTATATAATTAAATCAAGACAACATCATCATCACACATAAAATATCACAACCATCGGAGTTTACATAAGTGTATTGGTTTACAAATTACATTCCAAATGTTGAATGTATGATGATACAAAAAAAAATACAACAAAAATTCATGTGTTCTTGATGACCAACCTACTTAACGATTCCCTGAGAATATAAGTTATTTTGAAAATGATCAACATGTATAATATTGGTGAGTTCATAAGCATGTTTGTAAGAAAAGTTTTGTATCATTTGTAAACTTCCAGAAAATCCGATATTTTCCGCAAAAATTGTTTGAGCGTTTTGTTTCAAATCTTGTATTATAGCATGTGTGTTCATATTTTGAAAGTGTATAAAGAGAGAGTTCCAGAAATTTCTCTATTTTCTGTTGTAAGTAAAATGTAAGGTATTGTGTTTGTTCCCTAGAAAATCCGATATTTTCTGTCTGTAAAAGAGTTGTAGTCTTTACACCATGAGACCCGAGTATTATAGAAATGAATAACTCGTACGTGTATCAAAAGTATAGTATAGGTATTCCGTAAATTTATCGTGTTGTTAAACTCTATGTGAGTCGTTATAACCATGCTTGATATGACTGATCTGCCTGTCATGACGTTTTTTAGGCGTCGACTTGTTTAAGGTAAGACATTTGTCACCCTAGACTGACCAAGTAGTTGTAGCGAACAGCTCAGGTGCAGGGCTGTCAACCCCGTATAGATCTATACACAAACTCTCGCTCTCCCTCCAGGAGACTCTGGTTATAACTACAAGACTTAAGGTTGTACACTAGGTAGGTACAAAGGAAAGAACGTCTCACCAGAACCTTAACTAAATTTACGCGACCAGTGTATCACATTGTTTGCCGTTTTAAAATAATGTTTCGAGTATGTCTTTGATTACAAAACATTGGTGATGGAAATAACATTTGTTTTTATCAAAGTGTCGAGTATTGTTTATTATTGGCCCAAATTAACATAAAATGTGTAGTGGGGCCCAATAAGAAAATCAATGGGCCTATAAGGCCCACATAACGTGTAATGAGAACACAAGGTCCAGTAAGCATGTAAATAGGTATTTAAGGCCCAATAAACATGTAATTAGGTATTTAAGGCCCAATAAACATGTAATTAGGTATTTAAGGCCCAATAAACGTGAAATGTGTTTACAAGGCCCAATAAAGTAGAAATGTCGTAATTAACCCGATTGTTATTATAATACTTGCTTTAGTTCCATTATTTACCAAATGACATAAAAGATCCACTTTGAGTAAAAATGACATTCTTGGCCCATTAAGTCGAGAATTTACATTAGAGGCCCATTTTTTATAAAAATGACACTTTAGGCCCTTTTATGACCGAAAGTTTACAATTAAGGCCTATTTTTGGTAAAAAAAAATGACATTTTCGGCCCACTTTTGATAGAAATAACATTTTCGGCCCAATTTTAATGGAAATGACATTTTCGACCCAAATATATTGGAAATAACAATTTCGGCCCAAATTTAATAGAAATGATATTTTAAGTCCATAAAGGCAAAAATTTACATTTTAGGCCCATGAAAACCGTGATTTTCTAATTAAGGCCCATTTTTATGAAAACTGACCATTTTAGCCCATTAAAACCGTGAAGGCCCAAATAGAAGCCCATTTTGTGAAAATTAACACTTTAGGCCCCTTTAAAACCGTGAATATCATAAAAATCCATTTTTATCTAAAAATGACTCTTTTGGTCCTCTCAAAACTGTGAGTTAACATAAAGGCTTCACCTTTTGTTTATTTGTCAAATATGGCCCCTCATACGGTTTTTATTTAGTTTTCAAGTATTTCTTAAGATGTTTAATCCTTTCAACTTCATAGTAAGTTACATAATGTGTTTTAGTTAACAAACATCACCAAGTTTTGGTAGATCTTTCAAGATTTATGAAGGTTTAACATATCTTCATAGCATGATCACAACATATAACATGAAAACACACACATACATGCATAAATACTTAGATCTAACACAAAAGCAACTTGTATTCTCCCCAAAAAAACATATTAAAACCGAAAACAAGGGGGTATAAACTCACCTTGATGAAGGATTCGGTTTTAAAGAAGAGAAGGAGGTGTTTTCGGTCTAGCAAGCTTCTTGAAGAGATTTTCGAATTCCAGGAGATTCTAAGAAGCAAGAATCATGAAATGGTGTGATTATGAGTGATAAATTTAACATAAAAATGAAGTTAAACTTCTTGAATAGAAGTAGCTTACCAAAAATGATGAACTTTGATGACAACTTCTTGAAACACGCACACTAACTCACGAATTTTAGAAGGAGAAAAAGGTAGAATTTTTCCTTGTGTCCGTGAGAGATATGAGAGGAATTCTTAGTGAATTGGAAGTGGAAATGAAGGTGGTGGTGAAGGGTTTCGGCCAAGAATAAGAAGAGAGATGAGAGAGAGTTTATCTTGGTCATTACATTGAGGTTTAGAGGATTGCACTTTGATATTTGTGAGATAATTAGCCTAGATAACCTTCATATAAAAATGAGGTATCAAGTTATGAGGATAATCTCATTTTCTCTTTTTTTTTAATACAAACCGAGAATGGAGATGGGGGTGAAAAGAAAAAGAAATGTTGGGCTAGTATTGAATATCAACCGAAAGTATAAGGTCCAATAAGGAATTTTTCAGCCCATTGGGCCCACATTTGTGTTCACGGCCCAATATGATAAAAGGAATAGGTTTTCAGCCCATTATAATCAAAGAAGATGGTTTTCGGCCCAATAAGGCCCATGATGAGTCTTATGGTCCAAAATCTATTGCTTATTGAAAGTGATTCCAATTAGGGCCCAAATGAGGATTCTTAGTCCAAAAGAATCAAGTTGTGAGTTTATTGGCCCATCAGGCCCAATAAATGAATCATGGCCCAATAAGATGTTTGAACCGGGAAGTTAGGGTTACAACCCAAAGTTGAGTGAATATAGCGCATTGAATTAGGTTTAGGGCTTCACGAGTGAGTTTTGATTCGAATAGTTGTTTTTGAAATGAATAACATGCATGCATCAACATTAGGGTTACAAG